CTTCTGGGTCTGCTGCTAAGCACACTGGGGTGCCCTCCACATTACTGTGGGATGCTCTATCCGCCCCAGGATCTTAGCATTCATGAGCCGCCTGGTACCTTGAGGTATGTAGAAAAAATATTTAAAGCTGTGTCTATGTCCAAATCATCAAATCTTTCTGAAGCTCTCCAAATCGATTCGGAGGATTCTGGTTCAATTCAGAGAGATTAAAGGGTCTCCTAATTCAATTCAGATTCGGAGATTTGGCCACCGAACTGGGCCGAATCTCCACCGAATCGAATCAGGGACCAAAGCTTCGCACACCGCTACAAGGCTGCTCCAATGTGCTGTAATTACAGCACATCAAAGCACACTCCATTAATTGAGTCTGCTGGAGCATGGTAATTATCATGCTCCAGCAGACTCCAGCATCACACGTATCTGAGTTCCTGCTCTGAAAAATGGAGGTGGGGGCGCTTTAATGTCAAATGAGCTTTAGTTTTGATCTTTAGTTCAAGTGCCCCCGCTATCATTTTTCAGTACAGGTACACTGATACAAATGATGCTCCTGACACTCTAATTATAGCGCCTCTCCCCCCACTCCTGGAGCATGGGTATAAATGCCGTAGAATATCTTTTACTGTTTTAAATGCTTAAACTTTAAGAACCTCAATCCCTGTCAGATGCATCTCAATTTTTATTTATAGAAGCTTGTATATGCATTTTGTGATTGTAAAACTGTTGTGACAATTAATAAATGAATACATTCAACTATATTAAACTTGACCACTCATTGAATTAATTAATTCAAGAAAATGGATTCTCCCAAAAGGACGTCTGGAATACGATATGAATAAATTCAAAAACAAAGCTGGGGCTTCCCATATGTAATCAGCCAACAAAAGTAGGCAAAGGAATGAAAAATACAAAAAGAGATAGAGAAAAAGCAAGCCTGAAAGGATCATAGAGGTGCTGTTAGAAATCAAAAGGCATCTTAGTGAGCTTTGAAGACAGTCACAAAGCCACTTTGATGGAGCTCCAGGTAGATAATTCCACAGACAGAGAAAGTTGTGCTTCAGCAAAACAGACAGAATGTGATCAGGATGCAAGCTTGATCTGGCTGATCTGTTTCCTTGGATGGATACAAAAGAGAAAGGTGTTTTCTCACCTATATAAATCAAGCCTAGATTGTTAAGGGCTTCATAGGTTACGCCAAGAGGTACACTTTAGCACAAATGATTCAAATAGGAAAGAAGAGAGGGAAAATGCAGAGAAAGACCTGGGTTATACTTGTTTTGAACAAATCACCTACCAGCTTTCCATCCATACCAATCGGACCCTAGGGTAATCAAAAGCCAAAACAAAATTAAATGGTTAAAGTATATGAACACTGATGTCAGGGGCAAATATATATGTTAGTAGAACACTGTAGGCTTTAGAAGATGATTTACTGTATGTATGCAGTTAAGTGAAATACCTTAAGGACATCACAGGCACCAAAGTTAAGGAAAAAGAGCAGCAAGAGAAGCAGACCTAAGAGTGTAGTAATAAGAACAATATGGTAAGAAGTAATCAGGCAGTAGCTGGTGTTTGACAGGAAAGTGTTCAACTTGAAATTAAAGATTTGTTAGGCTAACAAACCACAATGGTACGACATGACAGAATATATGAAATAATGCATCTGGCTTATGTATTTTGCTTTAAACAATTAGAAAACCGTATTAGGTAAGCCATCTATGGTAAGGCTGTTATCACAATTATGGCTTCCAGAACACATGAAGACTGCTCTCTAAAATCTCAGAAGTAATTTAATCCACAACTGAGGTTATTACAAGGACTGCTAATAAAAAGGCACCATTTGCCAACAATTACTACATTTCAGTAGCTGAGGTACTGACATTTTCCCTATACTTCACATATTTAAAAAAAACCTCCACTAAATATTGGCTTTTGCTTAGTGACAGCTGAATCTACTGGCACACAATAATGCACAGATTATTTTTACTACCCAATAACCACATTCTGATTTCAGTTACATGGATGTATATTCAGTGAAACTCCATTAACTTCAACAGATTTATTTTGATCCATATTGATATAATTCTGATTCTGTCCCTTTCTGACGTATGTGATGTTAACATTCAGCGAAATATTATTCTTTAAGATTTAGGGCCAGGTTGTCAAAAGCTGTCAGCACCCACAAATGGAAGCTGCTTGGTGTCGAGCTGCTTTGAAAATATGAGTCACTTGTGTAGGATACCTAAATGGGAGAGGCTGAGAGCTGAATTCTTGAATATGGTGTTCGGCAATTATGACAGTCTTCTGAAGTTACAGGCTGTATGTTGGTTTCCCCTTCATTTAGTTAGCGATGTATTTATGCAAAATCCTTAGTTTTGTGCACTGGGACATTGTGATTCACATTATATAGAATTAGGTTTTGATATGATATTTTAATGACAAAATGAGAATTTTGCATCAAGAAGGAACACAGCATCAAATGGCAATATTTTGCAAATCATTATAAGTCCTCGATGTACTGCAAACTAGGTCCACAGTCCAAATGAACTAATCTAATGCTAAATAATCTAATCTAATGCTATAATTAAAAGCAATTCAACACCCTATGTACATCTTAGATAGCATCTCTATAGAGATACTGGGTTTCAGTTCAAATGAATAAAGAAATTTGTACAACTTGGAGCCACTGTTTCATGCTGTTGGCAGAGTCAGGCAGACATTGGTGCAACAGTTACATGTGGGTCACATTTTCTAACTTTTCTTCACATTTTGAAGAGCTATGACCATAATTTTTAAAGCAGAAGCATAATTCTGACATTATCCTGTAATGCCAGATGCTTTGGATCTAATCTTTGGTCTATATCTGCACTAAGCCAAACCAAATAGAACAGAGAACATGAATGAAGAAACTAGAATACTATCAGTCCAACAAACACAGTTCAAAGAAAGCTAACTCATGTCCTGTGCCTAAAACATAAATGGCTTTAAATGTGTAGACACTTTTAAAGTTTAGCAGTAAACAACTGCAGCATCATGAATGGCAGGAAACATGCTGTACAGCAAACAATTTGGAAGTACTGCTTCCAAGAATGAGATTTTCTTTTGCTCCTTCATTTATAAAGCTGTACACCATATATACAATGAAAAATATACTTAAAAATGGCTATTGGTGCCTCCCTTTTAGAAGAGTTATTCTAAGACATGGAAGAAAGTTTATACTTGCCTTGAGATGCTGCAAAAGTTTTTATTTGGTCTCATGAAAACAAACCTCCTTTCTTCCCCTCTCCCAATAACAATTGTTATTAATGCATAACAACTAAAATACATTATCCAATGTACTGAAAAAGATAAGAGTTCACTATTACACTTCATCAATATCTCCTAACCCTGATATATAACATATGCATCAGCCATGAACAGGTGTTGTTCATTTCTACTGATGGAGACTTATGAGAAATGTTCACTAGTAGAACTCTTTCCAGGAAAGAGAGCACTCAGGCATTCAGACTATAGCCACTCCCTCTTCCCTACTCTCTGAATCTTCCTGAGACAGGGCTGATCCCAGTCTGGGAAAATCTGGGAGACCAGTGGCTGCTTTGCCCCTCTGTGTCCCCAGGGGAGTGGAGCAGTGGTAAAGAATCCCTGCACCTTCCCCAGGTTGGGAGCAGAGTGGAGGAAAGAGCAGCACAAAGCTCCCACTCTTTTCCCCAAGCCAGTCTTCTGCATCCAGGACCCTGGTCTGGAGAGTGGGTGGGGAACACCTGGCAGCTGCCCCTCCACTCCTCTCCTGATCTACAGCAGGGATGGGAGCAATGGGACAATGCCCTTATGGCTTCTCCAAACCAAGGTGACCCCAGTCTGGGTAAGGCATGGGAGCCCATCCCCACCATTTGACTTCCCCGGGACCAGAAGGAGGTGAGTAGCATCTATTTCCTGTCCCTTCCTGAGCTTGGGTTCACCAGTGTGGGGAAAGTGAGTGAATAGGGATAGCAAACAGAGCAGTTTACAAGCAGTTCACTGGGAGCAAGAGGAGGAAAGGGAAGGAGAAAAGGAGTCAGGCACCAAGCACAAGATCCCACTCCATGAAGGTAAGTGAGCCAGGGCTGCCTGTGTGTTTGGCTTGTTGAGCATTTGGTGGCTGTGTGCATTTTGGGCATGTGCATTGAGTAGTGAGGAGTGGCACTGGCTGAGTAATTGCTGCCTGTGTCTGACAAAAGCCCTAACAACAGGGTAGAGCTAGGCCCAGCAGAGTACAAAAAGAGACTTCCCTGGTGATTAGGGAGTGAGTGAACAAAGACAGCAAGCAGGACAATTTGCAGCCAGATTGCTTCCCCCCTCTTTGAAGGGGAGCCTTTAAGGTAAGCTCTTTCTTTCATTAAGAGTAGCTAACTTATACGCATTTAGTGTAAGTAGCTAAAACTCAGGAGTTAGACCAATACTTAAACCCATTGCTTAACTAGGGTCCTGAGCAAGGGGGACTTCGCTAGGGAGTTTGCCCGGACACTCACTCTCTCTCTCTCTCTCTCTCTCTCTCATTTTTCTTCACTGTAAGCTTGGTGAGCGGAAGCAGGGAAAAGGGAACCTTTTGGAACCAAGGAGCAACAAACAGGCCAGCTTACAGGGGAGTTTGCTAGGGAAGGTCTGCTTAGAAAGAGGGGCAGGAAAAAAGAAGTGGTGGATTAAAAGACCCAGAGAAATGGCTGGAGAACATTCCAATGCCAGAGCCACTGCCATTGCCCACTCTTCCTCTGCTTGCACCTGTGAGGTGTCTGTCTAGGCAGGACTGCTCACTGTTATGGCTTCCCCCCAGGTCCTGGTTTGGTACTGTGGAGACTGCAGCTTACAGGTTCCTTCCAGGTTGGGGAGTGCCTGTGATGTGAGAACGCCTCCCAGGAAGGTGGAAGCTGGAAGCTTGTGACCTTTGGCAACAAGTAGAAGTCATCTCCACCTGCAGTGGTCTACCTGAAGAATAGATATGGAGCCCTAGCAACAGAGGAGGAGGAGCATATTCCACTGGTAGGAGGAGGACAGGGCAGGTCTTCTCAAAGTTGGGAGGACTGACCCAAGAGGAAGCAATGGGTGGTTGGAGACACCCTCCTGCAGGGGATGGAGGCATTCATCTTCTAGCCTGACCTCAAGGAAGTCTGCTGCTTGTCCAGAGCCTGGATCCACGATATCACAGAGAGATTACTGAGACTGATTTGACCCTCTGACTACTACCCCATGTTGCTCATCCATGTGGGCACCAATGGTACTGTGAAGGGTGACCCTGAGTGGGTAAAAAATTACTACAGGGCTCTGGGTGAAAAGGTGAAGGGGGCAGGGACTCAGACAGTGTTCTCCTCAATCCTTCTGGTCAAGGGGAAAAGCCTGGGCAAGAGCAGAGGCAGATTAATGCGTGGCTGCACATATGGTGTCGTCAGCAGGGCTTTGGCTTCTTTGACCACGGCATGTTGTTCCAAGAAGAATTGCTAGGAAGAGATGGGATCCGCCTGACAAAGAGAAGGAAAAGCATCTTCGCAGACAGGCTCACTAACCTAGTGAGGAGGGCTTTAAATTAGGTTTACTGGGGATGGAGACCAAAGCCCTGAGGTAAGGGGGTGGCCTGAAGGAAGCACAAACAGGAGGGGAGCCTTCTCCTCTGTTGCCCTACTTTCTATTCTTCCTGAGAAAGTAGGGCAGTTGGCATAGGAAGCATAAGTGGAGGGAGAAAATATAATTTGGGGGGGCTGAGTGTGTGTACATGCAAGCATCCCACCCCCCAGCAAGTAAGTCTGTCATGGGAAAGAGGTGGGGGGGCAAATTGAGGCCCCCATGGTGAGGGAGGGAGTGGGGCAGGGGCTGGGGTGAGTCACGGGACACTCGGAGGCTGGGCAGCTTGTCCAGGGATGTGGGGGAGCTCCCACCCCATCACTGTGCGCACCCCTGAGGCAGGAAAAGGGGGCATGTGCCCTCCCAATCAGTGCATGGGGTGGAGGTGGGTTGCTGCTGAAGGGGCTGCGGTCTGCACCCCACTGGTGGTGCCCTAGGTGTGATGCCACGTGCCTTCTGCATGCTGGCTGTGCCACCTGCCTGGCGGTGGGAAGCAAATGGCATTGCGCAGCTGCCAGGGCACCGGCAGCAGGGTGCCGAGTGCAGCCCACAGTGACAGCCCGACTTCACACCGCACTCAGCACAGATCAGGGGGAACGTATCACCTGTGCCTGCCCCAAGGGGTGTGGGCAGCAGGAGCCCTGCCCTTGGGCCCCATTCACACACCTTGGGGCCCCATTCACACCCCCTGTGGGGGCCTCGACCTGCCTCCCCATCTCCCTTCTCTCC